CTAAGACAATTCAAATGGGAGCGATTCAGTTTCCTGGCATGGCGCTGGTAGACTGTCCAGGTTTCACAGGCATACAACAATGTGGTCAGCACAAAGGCTCTGTAGACCTTCAGTTTGGTAGGCCGTCTGACGCCACTTCTCTCCCACACTTTCCTTTGGAGCCTCTCAAACACTGAGCTAGCTCTGGCAATGCATGCCTCAAGCTCATTATCAATGTTGACCTCCCTGGAAAGTACACTACCAAGGTAAGTGAACTTATCCACAGCCTTCAAAACTTCTCCTTTTGATGTAACCGGTGGTTCCACGTATGGATGGTGTGGTGCTGGCTGGTGGAGCACCTGTGTTTTCTTGGTGTTAATTGTCAGGCCAAAACTAGCACAAGCAGCAGAGAATCTCTCCATACTTTGTTTCATCTCAGCTTCAGAGGCTTCACTGAGTGCACAATCATCTGTGAACAAAAAGTCACACACCAACTCTCCCTCCACTTGAGTCTTGGCTTGCAGCCTTTTCAAGTGGAAGAATTTAGAATCAGTGTAGTTGTTGGCCTCGATGCCATGTTTGTCCTCACTGAAGGCATTTGACAACATGGCTGAAAGCATCATGTTAAAAAGCATGGAGCAAGCACACGGCCTTGTTTCACTCCCTCGGTGACTGGGAAAGCGTGAGAATGTCCATTATCCAGAGCCTGGGGAAGCATGTCATCATGAAATTGATGTGCAATGCTGATGAACCTCTCCAGGCAACCCCAATGTTGACATAATTTTCCACAAGCCCTCACGACGGGCAGTATCAAAGGCCTTGGTCAGATCCACAAACATTGTGTACAGACCTCTGTTCTGCTCCTGGCATTTCTCCCGGAGTTGTAGGGCAACAAACAAGCCCTCACGACGGGCAGTATCAAAGGCCTTGGTCAGATCGAGGAACATTGTGTGCAGACCTCTGTTCTGCTCCTGGCATTTCTCCCGGAGTTGTAGGGCAGCAAACAAGCCCTCACGACGGGCAGTATCAAAGGCCTTGGTCAGATCCACAAACATTGTGTACAGACCTCTGTTCTGCTCCTGGCATTTCTCCCGGAGTTGTAGGGCAGCAAACACCATATCGACCATTCCTTGCGCCTTTCTGTAGCCACCCTGGCTCTCATGTAGATGATCATCTTCCAGGTGAAGGATCAACCTGTTAAGAAGGACTCTGGCAAGAATCTTGCAGCAATGACTAAGAGGGAGATTCCCCCATACACATTCCATGACAGGACAATCTAGTTCCTTCACCTTTATGAAGATGGACAATGGCGGCATCCTTGAACCCCTGGGGGATAACCTTCTCTTGCCATATAACCCAGAACATTTTAGTCAGCTTTTATATGAGCAATGGATACCCCCCCACACACACACACCTTGTAAACCTCAGCTAGAATAGAATCAGCACCAAGTGCTTTCCAAAGGAGAGCAGTCTAATGACATTCAAAACCTATTCTTCAGTTGGAAATTCATCTGGAATGGGATTGACTTCAACCTGACGCCAATGGCTTCAGCATGGATGGATGACGGTCTGTACTTCTGAGTCAGGTGTGCGTGTTCTGACCTGCCCCATCCACAAGCCGAGGACCTATGTAGGGCTTGGGTTGATGTGGCCACTGGACACCTTGTTGTGGGGCCTGCGATAGCATCCCACACCCACCCCTATCAGCAGGCTAACGGTGCCAGCCAAGGCACCAATGGAGCTGCCTTTTGCCACATTATCTAATTTGTTTTACAGTCATGTTGGAACTCGGCAGGAAAGGATAATCACGGCTTAGCCCTGTTTGTCTCCCAGAAACAAGGAGACCTATGTGTCACTGTGACCTTTTTGTGTGATTCAAAGCATGCTGGCAGCTGGCATAGACCTGAACTGGGAGCCCAAGGCCACCAAGTACCCAAACATGAGGCACCTGCCCCACCGTGCCAGCCCCGCTGCCCACAGACGAGAAGCCCCATACTCACCCCTCTGGAGGTAACCAGCCATACTGCACCAGGGCCTCCAGCTTCTCAGAGGCTCCCCACACAACGGGTCATCTTCCATTCCGGCTCCACTGCTGACGGAATCTGAGGCCCCTCTCCAACACCAACGTCCCCACTTCTATTTCACTTCAGGGGCAGGCGAAGTTCTGCTGAGGAGCATGCCCTCCTGATCCATCCCCTGCGCTTCCCCAAGCCCAGGGCGGTCAGCCAATCGACAAACACTGATGAAACGATTTTATCCAGTCTGTCTTCCTTAGAGCACCCTGACTGTGTTACATCGCCTCCACCCTCACCCCTATTCTGATCATCCCTCCTCTAGCCTCAGTCCTGCATGAATTCAACAATCTACCAGCACTTATTAAACACCTACTACATGCACAGCATGGTGATAGCTGCATCACCGCGTGCCTATTGGACGCTGTGGACTCGATGTCTCATGGCTATTTCACACTCAGCACGTGCACAGGGAGCTCATCGTCCTTCCCCACAAACCTTCCCCTCTGCCAGGGTTTGTTTCTGCGGATGAGACTACTGCTCTGAGTCACAGGGTGGACTCCTCATCCTCCCTTGTCCCCCAGATCCAGTGGGTCATCGAGTCCTTTCAGCTCCATCTCTGCAACATTAACCAGTACGTCAGTCAGTCCACAAGCATTTATGAAGCACCTACTGTGTGCCGGGGATACAAAGGAAGGTAAGACGGTCCCTGCTCTCCAGGACATCACAGTCTACCAGAAGAGGCAACGTGCAAACAACTCTGTATGAACAAGACACGGACAGCACAAATAGGAACTAATAACAAGGGAGGCTACTAGCATTAAGGGAGACAGGGAAAGGCTTCTTGTAGAGGGTAGCACTGGAGATGACTCTTGTAGGAAGTCAGGAGGCAACAATGAGGAGAGAGAGCGAGTGTTCCAAGAGCAGGGGATGGCCAGAGGAAATGCCCAGAGTCCTTAGCTGGAGACATTAGACAGTCCTGTTTGAGGCTCAGCCAGGCATCCATTGCGGCCGGACTGCAGGGAATGCCAGGTGGGGGAGGGTAAGAAGACTGGAAGGAGGGGGGCAAGTTTGGAAGGACTTTGACTGCCAAACAGAATATTCTATTTGACCCTGGAGACGACAGGAAGCTCCTGGAGTTTATGGAGTACGAAGGGGGTATGCGTACACTCGGTCTTTAAGAAAATCACTCCAGTCTCTTAACTCACATGGCCAGCATGTGGGTTCTGGTCTTCCTCACCTGTAGCCTTTTCTTGTCTCCATCTGCCAGAGAGTCACCTAAGGGACGGGGCTGACCCCATCCCTCACACCTCTGTGGCTCCCCTTATCATCCATGGGACCATTTACAAAGCCTCTATTTGGCATTTACAGGTCCTTCACCACCTGGCTCCAGCCAACGTCTCGAGATTTATTACACAGCTCTCCCCTTTGGGCACTTCTCTGGCCAGTGCTCCTCACACATTAACCCTTCATTTCCCATCTCCACACCTTTGCATTGGCCGCCCTTATCCCTGGAATGCCCTTCCTCTTCCCTTCCATCTCTCAGCCCTCGAAGGCTGGAGAGTAGGACACTAAACTCCTCCAAAACAAAGCTTCCGTTTTAGAGAGAGGGCTCACAACTTTCCAGGTCACTTCACTTTTCCATGAGCAGATCTTTTATGTTAGTGACATCCAATTCCCTTCATTGCCCTCATGTAGCCTGTATTTCCTTAACAATGACATCTGTTGGAGGCAGGAGAGGGTATATATGTATATGTGTGTGCATGTGTATGTTACATATCATATGTGAGGTATATATGTATATATGAGGCAAACCAGAACTAAAAATAGATTAAAATTAAAAAAGAAAAAACTAAGAGGTGCGGGTAGCTAGTAACAAACAGCTTCCATTTTGGATCCATTGGAAAAGAACACATTTCCCAGTGTTACCGATTTGAGTCCTTTCCCGTGCATTGTTAGCCCATTTGGCCCCTTAACCTTCAAAGGCAGGCAGGCTGGTGACATGTTGCTGCCATTTTTACAGATGAGGAAAATAAGGCCCAGACCCATTAATCAGTCGACAAGCATCGGCAAAGAGCTCCTGTGTGCTGGGGACGACGCACGTGGCAGCAGCCCCTGAACATACATCAAGGGCTCTCCTACCTCCCAGCACAGGACTCCACCTACCATACTGAACTGCCTCTCTCCTTGTGTCTTCCACAGATACTGAAACTGAGTGGCTTTAATATTGCTTGTGCGGCTCTCTGACCTACGAAGGATGCTCACGGATAGAATGATTCACACACACACAGATTTGTGATGCTCCCAGCGTTCTGTAATCAAAACGCATTTGAATTCAGCTCACTGTGATGACATCACACCCACATACAGCATGGCCCTTTGAGGGGGCTCACCAACTGTGCATCTGGTGAATATCGGCACAGGGTAGGACAATAAACTGTACTTTTCAGAAAGTTTGGGGGATCCGAGTCCTGGTCTCCAGACAGTTATCATCAGGAAACTGGGGTGTTTTCCCAGTTACTGAACTAACCACTGTGGGGATGCAATGGGCAGAGAGATGTGGAGCAATGCACTAATGACTTCAGTCTGCCTGCATCGGTACCTAAAATATGGGGACAGAACTCATCGCTTTCTGTTCTACGTCTTCTTCAAAGTTCGATGGAACATTTGGCCATTTTGGACCGTCAGCGTGAGTGAAAATCAATGTTGTTACTGACCTGGAGCTACCCTGAGTGGTCCAAAGCTGACTCTGGGCTTCAGCCATTTTTTTCTTTTTCTTATGATATTTCTTTTTCAATAATATTTTATTTTCCCCCAGGTACACGGAAAGACAATTTTAAACATTCATTTAAAAAAAGTTTTCAGTTCCAAATTTTCTCTCTCCCTCTCTCAGCTCCCCACTCTCTGAGACAGTAAGCAGCTTGATACAGGTTAGACGTGTTCAATCGCATAAGCTATTTTTACATATACATTTGGGGAGGTGCGATCTGAATTAGTAAAAACCATGAATTAACAAAACGTTTAAAATGTAGTTTAATTACTTTCACATACAAAAAGAAATTCCAAGTAGGAGATGCGGTTATGGAAAGGTGAGTCTGGCTCCCAGTGTAACTGTTGGAAAGATCCCTGGGTTGGCCCCTCGTCAGACGGCGACCAGAGAATCAACAGGATGGTTCACAGTGCATGTCGCGGGCCTGCTGCTCTGGGTTCCCAATGAGAGGGACAGCGTTGGGGCTGCCTGGCCCCCAGCCCTGAGCTTCCTGGGCTCCTGGACAGCTCCAAGACAGCTCTAGGACGGCTCTAGGGAGGGCTCCAGGACAGCTCCAGGATAGCCCTAGGATGGCTCTGGGACGGCTCTGGGACAGCTTCAGGACAGTTCCAGAACGAATCCAGGTTGGTGCCAGGACGGCTCCAGGTTGGAGCCAAGACAGCTCCAGGACAACTCCAGGACAGCTCTGGTCCCCTCCATCCCTAGGTCGGGCAGAAGCCACAGCACGGTGGCGGCAGCTGCTCTCTCCCAACTTGGGAACAGGAACAGGAAAGGCTACATTCTTGAGCCTCTCCTTCCCTCCTCCTTCGGCCCCCAGCTTAATTTAGACTCAATCTGAATACCTCCATTTCCCCAAATGAATCTTGATAATGTCACAGAGTTCATAGATATTTTCACTATCCAGAAGCCACCCCCGCAGTGCCCATACCCTTGCTTTGGCCTCTCTCCAGGCCGACACCTCCAGCCTGGACTCAGGTCAGCAGACATTAGCAACAAAGAAGAGACAAGACACAATGTACTTGCTGCATGGCTTTGTCAACTGCTCTGGAATTTTAGCTTCAATCTCTGAGCCAAAGGAAGAGGGCTCTCCAAAACGAGACTGACATCTTTCTCTTCTCCAGGAGAGACTGGAGATGCGAACAGAGCCAATCGTGGAGGGTCTTCTGTGGCCTCGGCTGACCGGGGAACCTGGGCCCCTTCACCAGCCTCTCTGGGGTCCGGCCTGGGGACGCTGGTCCACGGGCAGACACGGGGGCGCTGCTGAGGCCACGGCTTCCCTTTTGGATGGGGGCACTTCTCATCCTGGCTGGCCGGCTCATTCTCCTCATCAGAAGGGCTGCAGGGGAGGCAAACACTCTTTTTGGGGACTCTCTTTGGGGCAGTTTGAGACTCAGGCTGAACTTGCACGTGCTCCAGGCCCGTGGGCCTCCTTGCCGCTTTCCTTGGGATGTAGGGCACACAAGTGCTCACTGTAGGCTTCTCCTGAAGGAATGGTGCTCTGCTGGGCACCAAGTCAGATTCTTTCTGGCCATTTTGCAAACCAAACACTGGGAGACCACCCGGTGGACGACGATCAGTTTGCTGGGGCTCAGAAGAGGCCCTGCTTTTAGCAGCAAGGTTTCCTTCTATCCTCTGCAGTGACGAGGCTTCCAATCCCACCAGGGGGTAGGACACCCATCCAGAGGGGAGGAGGACCGGGGCTGCTCCCAGGCCTGGGCACATACTCGCTCCATCAGAGGCAGAAGGTTCAAACTCAGCGCTGAATGGCCTCTGGAAGGGCCAGCGCTCTGGGGGCTGTCACAGGTACTTCCTATACCAGACACTGCTGCATGACAGAGCTGCCCAGGGTCCCTGCCAGGGTCTGAGGGGCGGGCAGAAGTCGTGGGTGCCTGTGCACCTGGTGAAGTGCTGAAGGAGGTGCCCTCCCAGTCAATGGAGCTCAGCTGGAGGTCCTCGATGACCGCGCTATCGTCCTGATGCTCAGACGTGGACAATGAACAATCACTGGCAATGCTGCGCTGCGTGGTCCCAGATCTCGGAGGGGCAGGGGCGGGGGGCTGCTGGGCCTCCGCATTCAAGGCAGCCCCCACACAAAGCCAGCTGTCTGTTGCTGGGGTCGGTCTCCGCTGCCGTTTATCTTCATGAGCCATCTTCAGATCTGACCTGAAGAGCTGCTCAGGCACTGTTTCACGGGACAGTTTCACATGGGACAGAAGGTTAGCCACCTCCTCCAATGCTGGCAGATCCCCTCCCTTAGACGTGCTTTTCTTGCCTGTGAAGGAACAGAAATGAAATCAGGAAAAGCAACAGCAAACAAGCACACAACGGAACTGGGGGGTCTCTGGCCAGTCCTGGCCGTGGCCATCACAACCGATCAGGCAGCAGGCTCATAACTGGGGCTTGGGCTCCCGCGCAGGGACCTAGCACCAAATATACCACGGCTCTGACCAACAGCTCTAGAGCTCCCCAACGGTTCTGTAAGACTGAGATTCGCTACAGTTGAGAAGGTCAGGCTTGGACCAGCCTTGGGACATCACACAGTTACTTCCTCCTGTTACAGAAGATGCCCAGGCAGATGGGAAATGACTCGTCCAAGGTCACACACTGGGAGCACCCTAACTCGGGACTCTGCCTCCCTTCATAAAGGCCCCATGTACACAGATAATGGGAGGGAGCCTTCTATAGAGTACAGAGAGCCAGGGGCAGGGGCTTCACTGAAAGATACAGCTCCTTCTGCCAACACCGGCAGAGACCTGCCCGGTAATTTCTGGTCTGGGGGCTGCTGGGGGCACTGGAGACAAAGTGACTTGTCCAGAGTCACATGCCAGGATGTGTTGAGGCAAGACTCGAACCCTGGCCTTCCTGCTTTGAGAGTGGCAGTCTGGAATCCTCACGGAGACTTGGTACTAGCTCAGCTTGGCTGACCCTGGCCCGGCGAGCCTTCATCCCACACAGTGCAGACCGAAGTGAGCCAGGCCTGCCACGCCGGTGGGAACAGGAATGAAGGCTTGTCTGACCCCTCCCGAGCCCAGCCCGACACCTTCTGCCTCCAGACTCACTTCTGGACTTCTTCCCCCGGCTTTCCAGCACTTGCTTCTGGTACTGGGCGACCGTGTCAGGGTAGGCAGCTTCGAATAAGGCGGCTTCCTCCACCGTGATCACAACAGGCGGCCCTGGCTGGAGACCGGCGCCAGGGGCAGCTTCAGCGGCCGTCACGTAGTGCTCTGAAACGCAGTGGTGGGAAGGCTGGCGGTAGCCTCGCGGGCACTGTCCCACCCTCCCTGAACCTCCCCTCCCCCCCTGCTCATCTCCACAGGACCCTGCTGGGCGAGGTCTGTTAGTCCTCTTGCCAATGGCCACACTGGTAACCACAGCTGCCCCCGTTTCACCCCATGGTGGCACTGGCACCCACCGACAGGGCCCAGAAACGCCCTTATGGCCACACAATCCTCCCTTCTCTTGCATCACAGCTGTGCCGAGGCCAGTGTGGTCATCAAGTGTCACCCCTGTGCCTGGCCAGCTCTCCCTCAGTCCTTCTTCCCCTTGGCCTCCCAGCTGGATCCCTGTTGCGCAGGAGGCCTCTGCCCCCCCCCCTTAATGCTCTGCTCCAGAATCACAGAATTTCAGAGCTATGAGGAACCTGAAGATTCATTCTGCCTAATCACCTTGTTTTACAGAAGGGGAAACTGAGGCCAAGGCTCATGAGGTGACTCGCTCAAGGGCACACAGGAAGAGAGCAGCAGCTGTGGTGCCCAATGCTGAGCCCGGGGATCTGACGCTGCCGGGGCACAGACCCTGGGGATGATGTAGGGGGTGGGGGTGGGGAGACGGAGGGAGAGGGAGGGAGAGGGAGGGAGAGGAGGGAGAGAGAGGGAGAGAGAGGGAGAGAGGAGAGAGAGGGAGAGACAGACAGAGACAGAGACAGCACATTCCCAGGAGCTTGGGCTGTGAGCAAAGAGGCCCCAGGCAGAGCAGGCCCGTTCTGGCAACATGGTTTAGGGGGATAGGGGTGGTGGTATCTTAGTCATGGACTGTGGGAGGCAGCCCCCCTCTCCTCCTTCCCAGGGGCCTGCTGACAGCTCCCCTTGGTTCTAATCCGGTCAAAAGAGGGCAGCACACACAGATACACAGGCACAAATATACACATGCATACATATGCACACGCACACACATGCGGATAGAAACCTATGAAAACACACGTGCAGATGTATATTGGGTGCATATACACAGACAAACAAGACACACACATGTAGACAGACAAACGCCCACCATGAGGAACAGGCAGAGCAGAAAGGAGATGAGGAGAGGGGAGGGCCGGCCCTGAAAGAAGAGGAGGAGGAGAAAGAGGACAGGAGGCAGAGGAGCCCGCAGGCAGTCAGGGAGAGGGCAGCACACACAGACACACGGGCAGAAACAGGCAGACCTGCGAGAAATGAACAAGGGGCTGGGGGACACCTCTGGTCTTGGCTGAGCAAAACAGCGCAGGGCAACAGCACACGGGACCAGAGAGGACAAAGAAGGAAAGGAGACTGTGCAGGACAGAAGCGATCCCCCCTTCTCACTCCTCAGAACCACACCCTTGCACCATTCCTGTGAGTAGGACAAGATGGGGAGGGGCTGCGGCCCCAGGTCTGCAGCATGTCCCTGACCCTCAGAGCCTCCTGCCCAGCAGGCAAAGGCAGGAAGCCCCAAGGATCGCCCGCGGCGCCAACACGCACCTGGCTTTTGCCACTGGATCTCAAAACAAGGGATGCCGTTCCTGATGCGTGTGTGGGTTATTCTGGGAAGAAGAAGGAGCTCCACTAAATGCCATGGGGATGAATTGCACACGTGATGCAGTAAACCATGACGCTGCAACCTAAAGCTGTCCACCCACATACGCCCTGAAAAGATTCGCCCTTCGGCACAGGGACGACCGCGGCCCTGGGCCAACCCCTTCTGTTTCATCCCCCCTTTACTTCACACGACTGATCACGGCGATGCTACAGATGGCTCAGACTCAGGTAGCTAGGCCACAAGATCTGCCCCTCCGCTCACTGAGGAAGGGAGGAGCTGCCCGGCCACGCGACATCTGCTCTGAGCCAAGCCCAGTGACCACCCACCCGCCATCAGACCCATCAGTCTTCCTTTAGTTAACATTTTTGGTAGAAAAGAGCTGCTCTGGCTGTCAGGCGCACCTTGGGTCCTTTTTATTGGCAATCACTAGCCTTGCTAATAAACCGACTGTGTGCAGACCTTCATGCCTCAGTTTCCCTTTATTGCAGATTTTAATTGCAACCACAGCAGTTGGTGGGTTATGTGTGAGGACAGGTGACATCACAGCTGGGTCTAGGGATCAGAATGAGAGACTGTGAATCCCTCCTCTGACCTTTGCTAGCTAAGTGGCCCTGGCCAAGTCACCTTAGCTCTCTCAGACTCAGTTTCCTCATCTGGAAAATGAAGTGTTCCTGGGACGCCCAAACTCACAGGGCTGTGGGGAGGCTCCCATGAGGTGATTATGAAAAGCCGTTTGTCTCTTTTAAAGTACCACATATGTCTCTGTGCCAGCTGTTACTATGAGAGAGTACAAGGCCTGTGACTACCATTTTACAGATGAGGAAACTGAGGCAGGGGTGAAGCGACCAGTGCCGTCAGCATGGGCATTTGAGCCGTGGTCTCCCGACCCCTCCTGTCCCTCCTCAGGCTGGCTCTGGACTATGCTCCACCCCCCAAGACTCCTGGAGTGCATCTGTGGACTCTCCCACTGTCGACCCAGGCCAGGCCCAGGAATGATCCCATGGATCCTTTCTCAGGGCAGGCCCAACACCAGGCGCAACCATGCACCCAAGGCTCCTGCTCCCAACGGGAGCTGTCCGGCCCGGCCCAGTGGGAGCTCAGAGCCCTCCAGGAGGAGAAGAGGACAGAGATGTCTCTCAGCTGCCCCGGCCCCAGCCCGAGCCCCCTACCGCACTGGCTGCAGCTGGCCGGGACCTAGCCGGCCATACTTCCTCTCCGTCATGTCGTGATGTGTCAAAAGCACCATTAACTTCTCACATGTGTAGTGCCTGGGCCACTCCATTTTCTCCAAAGCAAATACCTGGAAAGCCAATCAAATGCAACATGGACTTAGCATTACCTCCAGGGAGCATCTGGGTGAACGCAAGGCCAGCCGGTCAGCCAATGAGCACTGATGAGGTGCTCGCCGTGTGCCTGGAACTAGGCTGGGCACGAGTCCCTGCCCTTGAGGACTCCCACTCTAGGAAGGGCTGCCAATGGGAGGGCAGGCGCTGGGGCCCTGACCAGTGAAGAGGCCAACTGAATGGCGAATTCCTCTGGGGTCAGCTGCCCGATGCCAAGGGACTGTTTACGGGAGGAGACAGCAAGTTCACCTAAACTCGTATGCACAAAGCTCTGCTAGGCGTGGGGTTTTCCTGGCTTGTGTAGACCATCCTGGAGCACTTGGTGTCTGGCCCACAGAGAGCACTTTACAAACACTTGCTCACTGGCGCTGAGGAACGCAGAAGAGGCAGCACAGAGCTAGCCCGTGGGGGCCGGGCCAGGCTCTGCCCATCCTGCCTCCTCTTCAGCCACTAACCTTCTTGGGCACGGACCAAGTCACGCTGCCCCTGAACATACCTGAAAAGATAATAGGTCAGGTCTCTGGCAGAGGATTTTCTTCGTCAATCTGTCCTTGCACAACTGGAATTCTCGAATAACCTAGAAAGGGGTGGAGGGGAAGAAAGAGAACAGGACTTCAGGATTTTGCCTGACTTGAGCTCCCTGGAATAAACGTGTCATTGCCCGGCTTGGTTGTTACCTCGTGGAATGGGAATCCTTCGCAACTGCAAGCTTTCCTGGAAATGAGGCACAAGCCAAAAGGTCAGAGGGTGTCAGGGAGAGGCCGGCCCTCTCTCAGCATCCTCAGCTGCCCAGGCCAGAGCCCTCCCCAATGGACGGTCACTTCCGTGTTGGGGAGAGACGCGCAAGGGAAAGGGCCCCAGCCGGAGTGGGAGCGCAGGGCGGGTGTGAGACCTCTGCGGCCAGGTCAACTCAACTCTCCGACCCTCCAACCGGTCACGGGAAAAACGGGGTGCTCACGCTCTGGTGACCTCTCTCACAGGGCTGTAGTGGCGGAGGAGCTGTGAACACTTGAAAACGCTGGGGGATCATCTGGCTGTTCTCTGAAGGACGTGCCTCCTCTGGGGCCCTTCAAGACCGAGATCCGGCAGAGGCTCCCAGCCAGGCGTGAAGCCTCCCGGGCAGGGGCCATCAAATGTGGCCCCATCAACAGTGGGTCCCGGCAGTTCTGGGCCTGGGGCAGGTAGGTGCAGTACCCCCCGTGCCTCCCCCTCGGGGCCAAATGAAGTTGAAGAAACCATGGAAATCAGGGAAGATGTAGCAGGGAACGGCCCCAATAAACACTGGTACGGATGCCCTGGCCGCCGGCCCATAGAGAAACGATCCTTGCTCCCGGCAGGGCTGGCGTCCCTCTTCCAATAGAAGGCCAGAGAAGACAAGGTGCTCTCAGGGAGACTCCAACCAAGCCCCCCAGTGCCCACTTCAGAGGCAAGAATACGGAGGCCCACCTGGATTCACATGGGCAGTCCCAGAGACTGGGCCCGAGCCCACCAAGAGGTCAGAAGTGTAAGAGGGCTTCCTCAGGGAGGTCAGTTCCCGGCTCACTGTCTTTCCTGCTCCCCAACTCCTGCCCTCAGCCTGGGGGCCTGAACCATCCCAACACTCAGCCTGCTCATCCCCTGCGAGCTCTCGGCCACCCATGCAGCCGGTCCTCCCTCCGGTCACCCACGAAGCACCACCTCCATGCTCATAAACTGTGAAAATCCTGATGTGACCACAACCCCTGGCATTGTGGTCAGCACACCCTCTTCTATCACCCCCGACCCTGGGTGAGCCAGGGCCATTCTACATGACCCTCTTCTCTGGAGTTCCCCCTCATCTCACCTTGCCCAGCCTCAGCCTCTCTGCTGCCCTCGCTTCTAGGCAGCTAGGTGGCTCTGTGGTTAGAGTGCTGGGCTTGGAGCTAGGAAGACCTGAGTTCAAATGAAGCCTCGGACACTCACTAGCTATGTGATTGACCCTGGCCAAGTCACTTAAATCAGTCTGCCTCGGTTTTCTCATCTGTAAAATGGGAATAATAATAATAGCACCTACCTCCTAGGATCCACTGAGATAATATTTGTAAAGTGTGGGCCTGGCACATAGTAGGTGCTTTATATACGTCAGCTAGTATTATTACCATCTACACATATACTGCTGAATGAAAGTGGAGACAACACGTGGCCACCCTGAGCGGTCCACTCCAGGTCGATGCTGCACGGCCTCCCTGGGGCCCTCACTGCTACCAGGCAATCCTACTGTACCTTCCCCATTCTTTCCCTCTCCTGAACCTTCTCACCCCTCCTCAAGCCCCTGTGGCTCCCCCTCCCCCCACTCTCAGCTCACTCCCAACTCTTATTTTACAGTAAACACAGGCCATTCACCGTGGGCTCCCTCTTCTCCCATCACTCAGGTCCCCCTGGCCCCTCTCCCCCTTCACCCAACCTCACTCCTGACCAAGGCAGACCCCTGTACCTGCTCAGACGATCCCCTTCCAGCCCATCTCCTCCTGCCTTCTCTATTACAGTCCACAGCATCCCCCTCCTCCCGGTCCCTCGGGCTCCCAAGTCAGGGGTTGCCTTGGACTCCACACTCTCTCACCCCCACCCCCATATCCAAGGTCACCAAAGCCTGTGATTTCACCTCTGTATCATTTCCCCACTAGGCCCCCTTCTCTCCTCAAACCCTGCCCCCACCCTGGTGCAGGCCCCCAGAGCCTCACGCCTGGACTACGGCAGCAGCTACTGGGGTTCTGCCTGCCTCAGGGCCCTCCTCCTGCCAGCCCATCCCCTGTCCAGCCACATGCAGATCTGACCCCGTCCCTCCCTAGTCTAACCTCCTGAGGCTGCCCAACACCCGCAGGATCCAATATGAAATGCTCTGTCTGGCCTCTGGAGCCCTTCGTCACCGCCTTCTCCTCCTGTCTGGCTGTCTGAGCCCTTACACCCTCCCAGGCACTCTTTGATCCTGGCCTGCCGGCTGTCCCACCACCAAGAAGCTCCATCTCTGGGCTCCAGCATTCTCTCTTCCTCCTCTGCTCTGACCACTGAGCTTCCTGGCTTCCTTCAAGTCCCTACTCACATTCCCTCTTCAGCCGGCAGCCTGCTCCAACCCCCCAACTCTGGTGCCTTCCCTCTTAATCATCCTCTGTCTACCCCGCATAGAGCTGGGTCGTGGCCCTCCTCATTCGACTCTGAGCTCCCCCAGGGCAGGGACCATCTTTTGCCTCTTTTTGTATCCTTATCACAGTACCTGGCACACAGCAGTGCTTAATGAATGCATGGTGACAAGAGGAGATGCCGCTGTGCAGGCCACCTGGGAAGGCCACCTCCACATGGGAGGAATCAGCTGAGGGGCTGGAGAAGCTTGGCTCATCACAGCATCAAAGTCCTGAGGGCAGGGCTCAGCGTCCCCCCTGGGAGCTAGCTATAGGGGGTCACTGTTATCAAACCGCTTCCCAGGGTCCTTCACGCTGGCACAAGTTCCGTCTTGGGCTGCACCTGACCTCAAGAGGAAGCCATTACCCCTCCCCGGCCACCTCTAAGGTGTGGTGAGTTGAGCATAATCCGACTTTCCCTTGTAGGGACGGCCAAAGGTGACCGAGCCACATAGAAAAGACGCCCCATGCGGTGAACAGGTCTCACGGGGAGAAAGAGAAACGACCTACTTCCTGATGCCATCCTCAGCTGTGCGTTGCTGTCTTCTGTGCTCCGTGCAATGCCACTCACAAAGGCAGCGGTACTCGTAATCGTGGGGTTCACAGTGTCTCTCGCTTCCACACAGTCTGCACCCGTTACGCTCATGGTCCTTGGGGGAGCCTGCAAGGAGATACAAGCCCCCAGGTCGCTGACCACTTCCAAATGGTTACTCCAGACAAATCTAACTTCATTTATCAAAATGCATACAACACCCACAAACATCTTAATTAGGGTACTGAGATTTAAAAGAAAAAATTAAAATATGTCTGTCTCAGATTCAAAACAAAGACTGATTTTTAATGCTAATTTTTTGCCTTGGAGAATCTAATTTTTACCAGGAATTTATGTCAAATTTCAAAGGAAAACAGAAGTAAGCTTCGCCAGTTTTCTAAACCCCAGAACATCCAACATCTGGCTCCCCAAGTCTCTGGTTGGTCTTACCTCACGCTACTTTCACTCTGATCCTATGTTCTAAGCCAGGTTCTCCAAACTTTTTTGATGGTGCACCCCTACCAGTAAAAAAATTTCTGAGCGCACGCCCCCAACAGATGTGTATTTATTAATACGTTACATACATTACTCCTGTAGTGATATATTATGTACATCATACAACATACACAAAAACAGAGTTTTAAAAAGATGAAATGAGGATCAATTCAGTAATCTACCACGAGGTCTCATTCAACCTCTGCCGGAGGCCAGACACTGGGCTGAAAGCTGGGGACGCAGACAGAGGCAAAAGACAGACACTGCCCTCCCACAGAGTAGACCGTGGGGATGACGAAGGGTGGGGAGGAGAGAAGTGCCTGGGAAGGCAGCGTGCAAAGGGAAGGATTTTCCCCTTTCTAGGCTGCCCCAGGTAGCCTGGGAGGAGAAGGCCTCATAGATGGGGAAATGCCTCCTGGAGGAGGCAGTATGTGCGCCAAGTCTTACAGGAAGCCAGGGAAGCTAAGGGAGGGCAGCGAGGAGGAAGACCTCTACAGGCATGGCGGACGGCCCACGGAAACGTAGAGAGGAGCGATGGGATGTGGTGTGGGGGTGAGGAACAGCCACAGGCCAGTAAGGCCGGGCCACAGGGTGTGTACAGGGGTGCTGGGGGAAGAGCAGAAAGGAGCTGAAGAGGAAGGCCTGGATCGGGCCGGGAGATCACTTCAGAGGGCTAGCACCACAGTCCAGAGGAGAGGCAAGGAAGCCTGGCCCAGAGCGGCTGCTCTGTGAGCGGAGAGAAAAGGAGAGAGCCAGGGGATGTCATAGAGAATTCAGGGATGAAATCTGGCAAGTGACTGGCTAAGGGGTGATCAAGAGAGAGGACACCACGGCCAGCAAGCTGGTGCCTACAGGAATGGAGAGCCGAGAGGGAGGGCTAGAGGGACGGACCCCGAGGCCTGGTGTGGACATTTGGAGATGGCTACGGGACACCCTGATGGACGTGCCTGCGCGAAGGCAGGAGACAGAGATGGGGGAGTCATCGAGGCAGAAATGATGGCTGAAGCCACCACCAAGGACAGGACTCTGGGGGCACCTAGAGGAGCTGGGAAGAGAAGTCCAGAGTGCCCAATAAGGCCAAAACACGGTGAAGGCGCAGGGATGAGAGAAGGCGATTGGGTCTGGCTCCTCAAAGAGGCCTCTGCTGACTGGAGAAAGCAGCTGCCGTGGGACGAGCTTGGAAGCCCAAGGGCAGAGCACTGAGGAGTCAGTGAGAGCAGGGGAAAGGGCCTTCCTGAGAGTGGACAGCTGCGAAGGGAAGGAGATGGACAGGCTGCCGGCTGCCGGCCTTGGGAGAATCCAGTGAGGGCTTCTGAAGATGGGTCATTTTTGGTTAAGTTTTGTAGGCAGCAGAGGAGGAACCGGCAGGTAGGGAGGGACTGAGTATTAGAGACCGTGGGGATGATGAAGGGTGGGGAGGAGAGAAGAGACTGGGAAGGCAGCATGCAAAGGGAAGGATTTTCCCCTTTCTAGGCTGCCTAGGCCCATGCAGGACTTTTCCCACCCCCAGGTTTCCCTACACTGCTCCCTCCCACATCCGTGAGAGCAAGGGTCTGGAGAAGCAGGGACACAGCCTCACTATCTCCTCTCTGCTTCTCTGCCCCCCTACCCCTCCCCCCCATTTACATGGGCAGCAGAAGGGGCTGCTGTGTGGGAGTGGGGTGGATCAGGTGGGGAACGGATGCCTGCCCTGCTGCCTGGGGACCAGGAGAGGTGGGCCATGGGTACAGCTGCTCCCCTCAAGTTCCCTAACTGGTCATCTTGCACCCTCTTTTGAGACCAATACTCTGGGCAGTTTTGATGTCCATAAAACCAGGAAGGAATGAGGGCAGATCAGCTTGGGCCCCTCCACAAAGCAGAGGCTCCAGGAGGAGAAAGGGGGGATAAGCATGATAAACATCACAAGAGTGGTGGGATGCTCAAGGGTGAAGGGGCCCCGGGTGCGGAGGAAAGGTCCAGGATAAGGCAGCCCAGGAGGAATGGCTTGGGAGTCCAGAAAATCAGGAATCTAGACAGACAGTGGAGGACAGAAGGGCCTGGCGTGCTGCAGCCCATGGGGTCACAAAATATTGGACGCAACTGAATGACTGAACAACACCAAAAAGTCCACCCACCTGGATGGGCACACACGGAGCAATGAGCTGGCTTTTTAACTGTGACTGGTGGTGGGTCAAGGCTGTCGGACTCCTCCTTCCACTGATCAAACCTGGTAAGGTAACACACAATAAGGAGAAGGCAGGTCAGGACATTGGGCAACTCAGCTCTCTCTCAGGCACCACACTTCCAAATTACTTTCTTAACAACTCCATACAGCAGAGAATGTCCAGAGCGTCCCCACTATATAGACAAGAGCACCCAAGTCCAGAAAGAAAACTAGGCCAGACACGGCTCACTCGTCCACGTCAGAGGGAAGATGCGCACTGCCCTGAATCAAATCCCTCATGACGCTCTCCTTCTGGGCAAATCTACTGTCCCAGGAGAGACAGGCTCGTCCTGGACCGACCAAAGGCCACACTGACCTCCCTACTTCGGCCCAAGGACCCGGCCTCCTTCTTGTCCCCTCAAATTGTCCCTTCCGCTGGGGAAGCAGGGAAACAGCAAATCAGGGCTTCTCTCTTGAAAAACGTGATTAAAATGATTCTCAAAGAACTCAGAAGCAGGGGGGCCTCCTCCCAGACCTTCTGGCGATCTCATTTACTGACTTCAAAAGGTCGTCTTCCCTTCATAGACTGACAGTAAGTATCAGGGAAAGCGGAGCTCAAAGTGCCCGCCTCGGGCCTGACGCATCACGCGTCTGGATCAGTGAGATGTGAGTTAGGACTGCTGGGATGGGGACTGCACTTGGCTTCTCTTTAACGTTACTACTTGTGGCTCTCCCAGAGGAGGCAAGTTGGTGCATGTGCGTGCTTCACCACGCAACGCTGTGTAGGTGACTGGACTGAGCTCATAACTTGGTGCACGTCCCATTTGCCTTTTCTTGCTTTGAAATGCTCTGCTTGAAAGCTGCTGGCTGTGAGCAGACTGCTACAACTAGACTTGACTGAAACAGTTTATTCCTAACTGGAGTCATCGTAGCTACCCCACTCGTCACAAGAGGTACAGTAAAATAAAGGAAACAAAAAAGAAGGCTTGAGCCTGTGTTCCTCAGGCATCATTGGGAAAAAAATAGTCTAGTTGAACATGCAGAATTTTACATCAGAATCTGGGAATATAAAACAACTTTTTAAATGCAAAACAAAACTTTTAAAGAGCTGGAAGAGCCCTCAGTGGCCGCTGCTCTGGCCCGACCCCTGCCCTGAACCAGAATCCCCTTCTCAGCATGTTTGCTCACTGAGATCCCAGCTGGGTGTGAGGGCATCCTGGGCAGGGACCCCAACCCTCGGGGATGCCCTCTGCACGATGAGCAAGCCGAGACCCGCCTCTGCCGACCATGGCCCCTCGCCCTCCTGGTCCTTTTCTGGCCACTCTCTCGCCTTCTGAGGGGTCTTCTAGACGAGGCTGCTCCCCAGTGAGCAGCGCGTCCACTCCCGAAGAGGCCGGCCCAGGGAACAAGGACCCATGACCCAGCATGGCCAGTGAGGTGTGTCTGAGCCCATTCTGAACTTTACCTCTGCAGTAAACTCTGCCCGTTCAAGGTGCGCACCAGCTTTAGTGCCTGCTCCTTGCCAACTCCAGGGACGCCCTTCAGAAGAAAACGAAAGCAATGATCTGTTAATTACAGGAACAAAATACGTTCTACAGTCACCAAACACGGCCTCCGAGATGGAGGTGTGACGCCGTGGCTGGCCGAGCGGCTTCAGGCCCTGGACGACGTCCCTGAAGAGAGCACGCTGGGGTCGCTCCACACCATAGAGAGTCCAGGGTTCACGGCTGGATCCGGGTATGTGAACCAAGACGAGGCATCTCCACTGAACCCATCAACCAAAGGTACTGATTATATCAAGGGTTCATCTCAGGGGACAGAGTCAAGGCCTCTGCGTGGAGAGATGACGCCACCCTGCAGGTGCTGTGTGGCCCGTGACAGGCGTGCTCCCACCGCGGGACGGAGAGAGGATGGCCTCAGAACGCACGTGCACCCAGCCAACACGGCAATCTGTCGGGTTACACCGTGTCCATTTGTTACAATAGGCTTGGCTTTCATTCTTTAATTGGAGAAGGGGGAGTAGGTGGAAATGCTTGTTAATGGGGCGAGGGGGAGAATATTTGCTTATTTTTAAAAAGTAAGCTGCCTGACAACCAGAGACCATCTGCTTTTTATGCACATCCCCAGAACTGGGCCCATCTGGCACATGGCGTGTGCTGATAAAGGTCTTTTCGGTCATTCTCGGCTCTCTGAGCCTCTGAGCCATGAGCAGAACCTCACTACATGCAGGGCACACAACCCCGACCCCGGAGCTACAACTTCATGGTCCTGGGGGGCACCTTGGACCAGGTCTTCCTGACGCCAAGACTGGGACTCTCCCTGCCCACTACGTATCATGCACATTTACTGCAACAACTAACCCACGCTGTAGGTTTTAAGTAAGAAACCCAAGTGTTTCACGAATGAGGCCGACGATAGCTGATGCACCACCAAGAACAGTGAAGTTATTTTGTTGTAACTAGCCATGATGGCGTGCTCCCAAGCAACAGCACACCAGAAGTCACCGGGTGCAAAAGCAGAAAGATGCACAGGGAGGTGGCGTTAAAAACATAGGAACCAACAAAGACTGGCAACCTACACAGAAAACACACGAGCGTCAGCTTCGTGCCGTGATTCAGGCTTCCCGTCACCTTCCTCTGAGGCGTCACTGAGGCACTGAGAACACACCAGTTGGGCCAGGGAGCCCTCATTCTGCTCTACGCCGAGACTGAAGAGCCCTACAAGGGCCAGGAAGAGACTGTCTGCTATTGAGGGCCAGCCTTGTGGAGGAGGGGCCTGTGACGAGTGACCTCGAAGACCCCTACGGATCGCTGAGAGAGCATGTTGTCTCCTGGACGGAAGGGCTGACACTGATGAGATCGGAAATCGTTTTCTGTGTTGATGTAAGAATCGTCAGAGAGACCTGACTCAAGCTTCCAAAGCCATCACGTCCATCACAGCTTGGAGCAGCTGGGCATCGGTCACCCCGTGCATGACACAGCATGCTGCTCGACATGCCACAGCAGTCTATTTTTAATCACACAGCTGTATGAGACTTCTAGTTTCACTCAGTCACTTGTCACTTTGGGGGTGGGGGAGGAGAGGTGGCTGCTGGCGTCTCTGGCCTATGGGATTCATTCACTTAACACGTTTATTTAGCGCTTACTACATCCCCTGTGCTGCCTATGTTACATAAGGAGGACGTGGCTGTGAACTCCAAGGAGCTGACGGCTTTGTGGGCCAGGTCTCAATGTGTGGTTCCACCCAAGACCCTGTCAACGGCCACGAGGACAAAACTGGTGTCATAATAATATTAACCTGTTACGTGCCTCTTAAAAAAACTCTTCCCTTTTCCAGCTACGTGTCTGTTCGGCAGGATTTCCTTCATGTATTTCAACCAAAACCACACATCACAACCAACTGAAAGCCGGTAAGAGAATCCAGGTGTCTCTTGCTGGTAAGACCTTAAAGGGACTGGTTACAAGATGTAAAATGATGCCATGCTTCTCTCATTGTGCTTTTTTGTTTTGGAAAATAGTCATTTTGAATAAAGACATACTGTTCATGTTAACAGGGGACGGGTTTATTATTACTTTAAACAAATTAACAAATGTTTCTAAAACTTGATCTCTTTTAATTTCCAAAATGTAAGTATTGACAGCTATAACCCACATAAGTAGAAGCGTGTAATGGTCTAGAGTCCAACAAGCTGGAGAACCACTGGCTTCATACTTTCATTTGACAAACCTTGATGGAGGTCCTACTATGTTCCACGCACCACACTGGGGAGTAGGGTTACCGAAACAAAAATGAAGACAGCTCTCACCTTCGAGGGGCTGGCTTCCTATGGGATGAGTGGGGGCGGGGGAACGCAGACACCTGTAAGTAAATATGAAACCCGCACAAAGCAAAGTCCTGTGGGGAGGGGAGCAGCACAGGGTCTGGGAGCCCGCATGGCACCAAGCGTGACCACTCTGTCACAACATGGTCTTCTCAGTCGAGGGCAGACGACAGTAAAACGAACACGGGGGTCCAGGACCATTTTCCACGTGAAAGGGTGTGCTCACACTCCACACTACGGGGAGCCCGGCTGGTGCAGGACAGGCAGAAGTGCCAGGGCACACTACCACGCAAACACGGAAGAACAACCGTTTGTGGCTTACCTTGGGAAGGTAGTCACAGCCCAGCAGCACGGCCAGGCCGATAAGGGAGTCCCGATCCAAGCCCAGCTCCCTCTTAATGGAGGACATCGTATAGCAATCCACATGGGGGTCCTAAAAGAAAGTGAGCGTGTGTGTGCTTCATCTTCCAAACAGCCGATGTCCCCAGATCCCCATGGGGCTAAGTCTCCTTCAAAACCACTGTCCAAAGCTCTCTGCACTTTCACACGTGTGTGTGTGTGTGTGTGTGTGCGCACATGCGTATGTAGAATAAACAAATAAAATCGCAAGGTCAGAGACGGAAGGGAGGGCCATCTAGTCCTGGGGCCAAGAGCGTCTGCTGACGTGGTCCAGGGTACAGAAGAGGTTGAGAAGCCTGGCCTGTCTACATGAGGATGGGCAAGCCTGGAGGAGCAGCCCCACCTGCTTAAGTCACTGTGTGAGAGGCAGATGCAGGTGCCTTGGGCTCCACAGCCAAGGTCCTTGTGGGAGCCGACAGCCGCTGAAGAACTTTCCCAATCCCCATCATCAACGTATTCACAGGCCTCTAGCACTGCAAGGGCTAAAGACACATCTACGGTGAAAAGGGCTGAGCACGTGTAGCGGGCGATTTACTCACACTCTGTGCCCAGGGCTCCTGACTCATAACTGAAACATGGAATGCGTGGCTGAAGGCGCCCTGGGAGAGGGGATGCCCAATGGGGAAGCTCTCCGATGAGGGACCTGCCTGCTGGGGGCCACGTACAAGGATGCGTCCAAGGCACCCCTTGCCTCCAGACCCCTCTGGCTTTGAGGCTGGCTAGAGCCCCCTGCCACCCTGCCTCAGGAGCTGAAATAATGTGGAAATCTATATTATCACCCCCCTCCCCCAATCTAAACCACTTGGCAATAACAATAGTTTAAAAAAATCCATTTCTGAAAACATCCATGAAGGAAGATACATACCTTTGTATTCATAGTGAAATTTCGATAGACGGTCTGTGCCCCATAAAGGAAAGCATCTCCGTCATTGGTGAGGCACCCGTCCACGTAGCCGTGGGCATTGAGATAAGCACACATGGCCTCGGCTTCCCCGGCCGCTTGAACCCATGGAATTCCCAAACACTCCAACAGGTCGAGGCACTAGGAACAGAATCAACCGAAATCAGGGGCTGCTTTAATCCACCCACCAACAGGCATTTATTAAGTGCCTATTGTGCACTAGCTTATGTTTCCTGTACAATACTTCTCCAGGGATGACGCCCAAAGCAGCAGCAATTTATAAGTTTGAAAATTATCTTTCAAGAATATACAAATTCGGGGCAGCTAGGTGGCACAGTGGATAGAGCACTGGCCCTGGAGTCAGGAGGACCTGAGTTCAAATCCGGACTCAGACCAAAACACTTGACACCTACTAGCTGCGTGACCCTGGGCAAGTCACTTAACCCCAATGTTTAGCTAAAAAAAAAAAAAGAATATACAAATTCCAAATAAATAGATTACAGATAGAGGGATGACACAGAAATGAGCTAGAGAACAGAAAGGTAATATAGATAGATGGATCGATGATATACAGGTGATATGGAGAGAGAAACAGATGACAGAGAGATGGATGGATAGGTACACAGACAATGCAGTTTAGATAGTCTTTGAATGACAGTGACCCAAACTGTAACATCCCATTCTTTTGTTTCAATGTTAATCCCTAAAGATTTCTCATCGGGCTTAGGACGCGACCAACAGTTTTCAATTGCTCATGTCGCCATGACTCGGACTCATGTTGTCTGCTCACTGAGGGCCACTGGTAAAAGCTCACGATCAGCTTCCTGCCTTTGGCCAGAGAACACTCTCTGGGTGATGCTGGGTTAGTCACTCAGCCTGCCCCACTCTCTGACTCCCTCTCCACGCTACCTCTGGGTCTTCTGGCATTAAAAAACCAAACGTTCACATTAAAAGTCAAGGTGGGCAGCCTTTGGGACAACATAGATTGATTTTTTTTTTTGCCTTTTGGTTAGGCAACTGGGATCAAGTGACTTGCCCAGGGTCACACAGCTAGCAAGTGTCATGTGTCTGAGATCAGATTTGAACTCAGGTCCTCCTGACTCCAAGGCTGGAGGTCTATCCACTGTGCCACCTAGCTGCCCCACAGATGGATTTTTTACACCACTGAAGGATCACCGTAGCCCGTTTATGCCTCTTCCTTTCTCTTTACCTACATTGAAGGAAAAGAGCCAAGGGGACACGAATAAGGCGTGGTATGAGAAGTGTGACCTCAGCGATGGCTGAGGAGCAAGGATGTCGTCCTCAGGGACTACACTGCTCTTTGCTTTCTCCACGTCCAATCCATCAGTTAAGAACTTGTTAGAAAAAGGTCTTGTCTTGTAACAGGACTTCCCCAAGAAGGAAGAGTCAGACTCACAGTATCAGAGTAAGTGCCTCATGTTTAAGGCCCCACCTGACGATGGGACGCGACTATGACTGTCTGCAATGACACCTGCCTTATTCCCTGTTTGAGACAACAGCATAAAAATCACAGGTCTCATAAATTGGAGGGGATCTGCTAAGTGTACTGAGCAGTAACATTGTGCCAGGTTAAGTAAGAGAAGAAAGACCGTCATGCATCGAGCCTGACCAAAGCCCATCCTGGGCTGCGACTCCCCACCTCACCACACTGGGACTCTGTTCCAGATAAAGATGCTAATGCAAAACTTCATGCCCCTCTCTGATTGGATGGGGGGTCATTTTGCTTCTTCACTTTGTGGACAGAAGGGACTCCGGCTGTGGCTGCTACCTCTTTTAAGACGGCCTGGAAAGAGGATCTTGTGGGCCTGTAGGTCCGGTTTTGGGGGGGCCCATACCGCGTCTCATTCCTTTTGCTCATCACATCCGCTTTCAGCTCGGGAGCATCACCTTCCGTGACAAAGAGCAGTTTTACTCCCATTAAAGTCAGAGATGAGATCCGAAAAAATAAGTTCCTGAAAAGCACAAATAAACTTAAATGAATGGGGGTGCTCTGAGAAAAGCAGGCGGGTGCGTAAGGCCTCTTTGCTCACATAGTCCATCCCACCCCTCTCCTCGGCTTGGCTTGTGTCCCCGCGCACTCCCTTCTCTCCCAGGTCCCTCTGCCCTCCCTGAGGCAGGCTGCGCCTCGTGCCTCCCTGCCGCTTAGAAAACCCACCTCCTCCAAGGACTTCCTGGACCCCGCCCCAGGAAATGATTCTGGATTCACTCTGCCTCCATATCCAATTCATTTACCCACATCCATATTGTCTGCCCCAGAAGAACGCGATCCCCTCGTGGGCAGGGGATGTTCTGTGTTTGTCTTTAGCCCCCAGCCCCTCACACTGTGCCTGACGTGGAACTGTTTATGCTGTGTGTCCTTGACTCTCAGAGAGGACCATGATGCCACGACATGTGAGTGTGCTGGATTTAAGTGAGGCAGGCTGTGCAGTCACCGCCTCACTGTCTCCTACAGAGCCACCTGGGCCCAGTGGCCAGATATGGATCAGGACATGGAATAAGTGTGCAACGAAACATTCACCTGTCTTCTCACGTCATGTCTCCTGAATGAGGAGCAGGAAATCCAGGGATACTGTACTTTCAATACTCAACCCCATCACACAACGGAAGCAGGAAGACATAAAAACCAAGGCCCTGGTGGACGGATGGGGTGACCGGAGGCCCATACGCACCTGAGATGGGGCTTGACGACGGCGCCAACCATCTTTTTGACCGTAAGCGCTTCACACACCCAGAGACTCAGATCGACTGCAAGGGTCTTCCCCTGGAGGCTCTGCAGATGGGCATGCTGCTTAACCGGCTCCAAAATGGGCCAGAGATCGTTCACGCCCATTCTGGTCTTCTTGCTGCTGATCTCAAAGCACCGATGGTAGGAAAGCTGTTTAACAGAAGTATTTGAGGGTTCCAAATAAGAAACCTAGTCACTACATGGAAAAAGCCATAAAAAAGAGATGACGTCATATTTCCCCTTTACTAGCACTTGGTTAAAAGATTTAGCACACTGATGCTGAGTGAAGGGGGAGAAAAATTTTAAACTAAAAAGCATAGGGAAGTGATTATTGATAAATCAAAATAAATTAATAAAGTTTTTAAAAAATACAAAAAAAAAAGAAGATACAGACAAGTAGGGGGAAGAATGACGTGAGTCATCAATGGGACTCACTGAAAATCATTGACAAGACACGATCTACCCTGCATCAGGAGAGACGCTCGATGGAATCCTTGAATCATCCCAGAGCATTGAGCTAGGTGAAGAAAGTCCTTGGTTAATGTGAAACAAGTGAGAGCCAGGGGATGACACGGAATGTCCCTGCACAAAAATGTGATTAAGGTTACGCCCCACCATGGGTCTCAGATCAATGATGAAGTCCAACGAGGGCCCAGCCAAGGCCACGGGGAGGGAAGTGTTTGGGGAGAAGGGAAAGGAGCCTCTGTCTCGGCTGCCTTTGGCTGGGCATGACCTGTGCCAGGGAACTGTGCCCCCATAACAGCAGCGGTGGATGACCCCATCCACATCAGAGCCTGAGGACGAGGCAAGCACACTGAGGACTCCCTGAGGCGCCCGGCAGAAAGCTAGCCCACGCCTAACAAGGCCTTCAAGGGGACTCTATGGCGGCAAGAAGAAGGATTTTCATCAGTGTGGAGCTGTGAGTTACCCTTTGCCACGGGGCCTCTCTGACCTCAAGCCCCTCATCCTCCGGATCCTCTATGTACTTGGGGGAGCCAGTGCCTCATGGTGGTGGGATGTCTGTACCAATTGCCTATTACCCTATCACCACCTGGGTAAATACCTGTTCAAAAAGCTAATTAAGTCCCCGTCCCCCCCACAGCCCTTCAGGGTCCTCAAGAACCCCGGGGGGAGTAAAGTGAAAAGTCAATGCTTTGGGAACCCAGGCCTTCAAACCATGCAGGCCTGGCAGAGGGAATCCCTCGTCAGCAAGGCAGCTGTTTTTGGTGGCCCCTGTGCAAATGCTCTATTAATTCCTGGCCTTTCTCGTGCCACCTTTGCCACCTTCCAAAAAGTAAACACCCCAGCCTCTGTCAACAGCTCATCAGCATGTCCATAAGGCTTTCTTCCCTGGACAGTGGCTGCAGGGAGGGAGCCGGAGGCAGGCCTGGGTCTAGGACCAGAGCACAAAAGGAAGCTAAGGGGGGAGGGGGTAATGGACAGGCCTGGGAGACCAAAAGCACACCAGCTGGTGGGCTACGGGGAGAAGACTCCTCCAACGGAAATTTGGGAAGGAGCTCTTCCCCTTCCCCCCAATCAAAGGACAAGCTCACCCAAGAGCCCCCAGGCTACCGGCCTATGGCTTGTCAAACTCCTAGGAAAGATGTCTCCCCTCGTTCTCTCCACTGCCATCAGTCATTCCCCACTGCAAGCTGGCTGCCGTCTTCATACTCAACTGAAACCGCTCTCTCCAAAGGGACCTCTTAATCGCTCAAAGATCCGAACTCTCTCCGCTCCCAAGTCTGAGGGTCACCATTTGCACTTACCTGCTGCACTCGGCACTGCTGACCACCTCTCCTGGTTAGTTTTAGGACTGTCTCCAAGTCCCCCTACCCAGCTCAATACTTATGCTCAGTCTCTTGATCTGACCCCCCTTCTCTCTGCTCACACAGCCGCTCCCTTAGCTGGGGTCCACATCCCCTCTCCCCAGACAACGAACAGCTTCTGACTGGGCTCCCTGCCTCAGGTCTCTCCCACAATGGTGCATCCTCCACACTGCTGCTTCAGGGAATCTTTCTTAAGGGAGACCTAAGGCAAGCTCAATCAGTCTGTTCCAGCTGCTTGCTGTTGCCCCTAAAATGAAATATAAATTACTAGCTTCTGAAGCCCTTCATAAGCCGGCCGACTGACCTTTCCAGCCTCCCCGGGCATTGCTACCCCTCCACAATCCAGCCAAACTCCCATTTGCACAGAAAAGACTCCACATCTTGTGTTCATGCACCCCCTTCTCACCTCTGCTTCAAAGGTCCTCTCTTCCTTCAAGGTGCACCACGTTCTGCATGAAGTCTGTTCTGATCATCCCAACCACCCTTTAGTTAAATGCTCTTCTCATTCTCTTTGTATTTTTTTGTTTTTTTTTCCATATGCTTTTGAGTTAAAAATTTTTCTCCCTTTTCCTCCCCCCACCCTCCCCAAGACGGCGCACAATCTGACATAGGCTTTACATTTACATACCCATTAAACATATTTTCACATTAGTTAAGTTGTAAGTAAAAATTAAAACCAATAGGAAGAACCATCAGAAAGATGAAACAAAACTCAACAGAAGGTAAAAATAAGTGATAGCGATTGGACTTCCATAGTTCTTTCTCTGGATGTGGACAGCATTTTCCATCCTGAGGCCTCTGGAGATGTCTTAGATCCTTGCAATGCTGAGAAGGGTTCAGTTTAACAATATTAGTCATTGCATAACGTGGCTGTTATTGTGTACAAAGTCCTCTTGGTTCTGCTCACTTCACTCAGCATCAGACCATACAAGTCTTTCCAGGTTTTTCTGAAGTCAGCCTGTTCATCATTTCTTACAGCACAATAGTATTTCATTACATTCATATACCACACCTTGCTCAGCCATTCCCCAATGGATGGGCATCCTCTCAATTTCCAATTCTTTGCCACCACAAAAAGAGCTGCTATGAATATTTTTGTACATGTGGGTCCTTTTCCCATTTGTTTGATCTCTCTGGGATATAGCCCTAGAAGTGCTATTGCTGGGTTCATTCTCTTTGTATTTATCCTGCATATCCTTACACGTGGCTGTGCCTCCCACGCTAGGATAAAAAGTTGTTGAGAGTTAGGATTCTTTCATTTTTGTCTCGTATCCCCAAAACACAGAACGGTGTCTGGTACAGGGCTGGCACCGAAATACTTAGTGACTGATCCCCCATTCCTTTGCTTATGGTGAGGTGGCTGGTATACCGAACCACTCTGGAATCCAAAGACCTGAGTTCAAGGTATAGCGCACACATTTATGAGTCATGTGACCTCACCAAGTCAGTTCAAACTTTATAAGCCTCAGTTTCACCATCTGCAAAAATGGTCACACAACTGCCTGTATCAGCTACCTTAAAGGAAGTGCTTCCTAAAGTGCTACGTAATAATAACCATGTATATTATGTACACATGTGGATAAAATCATATAAAATAAATAACATCATATATATTTTTAAAATTCAAATGTAAATGTGCACATTCCATTCAAAGACAACAAGTGAACTCCTAGATCAGGGAAGCCTCTAGGAAAGTCTTTCCAACACGAGCTGATAGAATGATTCACTATGAACAGAGCTTCCAGCCCGGGACTTTTAATAAACAAACCAACCAACACGGTTGTTATGCAGGGAAGATCCACCTGGCTCCTCTCCTATCTCACTGCGTCTCCTCTGGGCTGAGCCTCAGACAGAGGCCCCTCTAAGAGAGGCCTGCAGCCTACAGAGCTGAGGTCTAGGACTCCCAAACGATGCTGGCAGCCGACGGTGAATTTCAGTGACATCCCTGGTACCTGCCCCCAAGTGATGAAGGGCGAGCGCCATCTGCTGGATCTGGGGGAAACAGCACTTCAGACAGCGACTCCTACCTGCCTGGTGCATGGGCGTTCTCTTCTCTAACTCAGGTCTTCACCTTCACAACGGTGGGGGGGATACGTTTTGTCTCAACTTTGCACCTCGCCCAGTGCCAAGTACACCAACTTTCACCTTCCAGTAACTTGAGGACCTTCACCCACCCACATCTCCATCCCCTATAAAGCAGACCTTCTCCTGGGTCTAGTGTTCCCCAAATTGGCTAGGTCAAGTCCATCCCTGGGCTTTCAACCTTGGAAGGCCCTGGGACAGCCTGAACGCCACTGACCCAGACTCAGGAACTGCAGGTCTCAGGGCGTCAGTGGAGGCCAGCACCTAAGCGTCTGGGTAAACTGAGGCAAGGCTGGCCCTTTCCCCTCTTCCCTCTGGCCTCACTGTGTGAGCTGAGCTGAGCTGAGAAGCTCTGCTGCCCCATTTCCTGGTCCCTCACCTGCTGAGATCCTAGGTCACTGGGGCAGCTGGGCCCATCCAGTAGGAAGCACGCAGAGCATCTGATACACTGGAGTCTCACACCCTCTGACTGTGGGATGATTCACTGAATGCCACCTCACACATTCATGTCATCCTTTAAAAGTTATAATTCAATCCTTCAGCCAGGACCCTGAATCTCCCTGGGCCTCAGTCTTCTCATCTGCAAAGTGAGCGAGCTAGATTAGATCATCTCTCATGTTCTTGTCAGTTCTGACAACCTCTTGAGTTGGGCCATTTTCCCAGGCTAGGCTAGAAGAGGCTCCGGGCCTTCTGCATCACGGTGTCCTGTGAGGTCTTCTTATGCTTCATAGGGATGTTAATTCTAACGAGAGGACATCACTTTCCCTTCCCATTGACTGACTGACCAGTCACTACGTGTCAATGGGTCTGGGCCAGGAATAGATCGTTTCTTAAACTGACATTCTCAGATTGCTTCTGTATATTAAATTTGAGGTCACTAGAGCTTCAAAGTAAGAGTGAGGATTCATGTCAGAGAAGAATGAGAAGGTAGATGTAAAGTTCTGGAACTTGAGGGAGACCCAGCTGTGTGGGGGGGGGTGGGGGGAGGGCTCAGTCTGCTAGAGAAAGGGCCACACAAACACGATGGAATTCACTCACTGGGGATACTGGTGGAAGATGGGACAGAGAGGATGAGGATGAAGCTCACGACATGCGCAGGTCAGCTTGGACAAAGGACCTCCAAGGCCTCCTAATGCAAGCCTTCCCTCCCTCGGTTAAGTGACTCGTCTGAGGTCACACTAGCGACTGATTGACCAGTAAGTATTTACTGGCCCTGGACCAGGCAACAAGGACACCAACACACGAAATGAAGGAAATCATCACAAGGAGTGCATCTGCACGTGGGAAGGCCCGACACCCCTGATCTGAGCTCAGGAGGGGGCCAATCGCTTACCTGTCTTCAGGCTGTGACAACAGCCCCCTGGACTGCTTGCGACAAGGCCACTTGCCTTTGATTCAACTAAAACACCGGATTCTTTTCATTTAAAATAGATTGTCTTTTATTGTGAAATTGCAGTCAGAGGACCACCTGGTAAATTTATCTGAACTGAGCTGTTCCCTTCCTGTGCAGGTCTGCTGCTTACTGCCCATGTGGGCCTCAGCTTTCTCCGTCCCAGCCCAGTGCACCCATCCAGCAGGACCTCTGGGAGCCCCACAAAGGCAGCATGGAAGACGGACAGCCCTACAAAGCTCCAAGCTAGACAATTCTCAATACAGTCTGTAACCATCTCTGCAGATTACCAGTCTTAGCTGCAACATGCAGTGATTTCATTATCTATTGCTACAGACTTTCCAAACAAAAATAGAACCAAAATACCAAGGCCAAGCCTCCCCCTCTTACCCAACTTCTCCAAACAAAACAAAACAAAGTCCCACAGACCTCATTTCAAGCAGGATGTTCTAGCAGGAAAAAAATTAACATTTTTTGAATTTGAATTTCTAGCTTTGAGCAAAGGTGTGGAAATACCCACTTCTAGCTAAAATAAAAAGAAAAGCAACCTTTGATGTCACCATATGGCACCTATAAATCAGTCTATCCTTCCTAAAAAGCTAAGAAGCTTTACTGATTTATTAGAAAACAGAATGAGGTGAGAAAAGCGCAGAACCTTGCTAACTCCCCAAGGATGGCACTTTTTCACAGCATAAAAAGGGCTCAGAGGCCTCCTTATGCTATAATTGGCCAACAAAAAGTCTCAGGGATCTTCTGCAATTCTATTTCACCATCAGAAAAGGAATTCTTTTTTGCCCATTTCATTGTTAAATGAGTAAACATTCATTTCAGACTGAGGAGGCTCAGGCGGGGCAGTGATCCTTGCCTTCACTGATTTAAGCTATCTAGAACAGGCTTATTTTGATCTTTCCATGTTTCACTGTAACAATTAGTGCCTACTGCATGCAGGGAGGGTCCTGTACCTGGCCCCAGGGGCTTTAGGCCACGGTTGTCCTGGCAGGCCCTGGAAGAGGAGCGAGGCTGGGGGCTAAGGCGGGGTCAGTGCAGAATTTGGGGGGCCACTGTGGACAAGCTCTGAAGCCTGCTCCTTTTGCCCAGGACAGGAGGAGGCTCAGCCTTGGGGGAGGTGCAGACACAGAAAAGAGGGACAGAAAGTCACCAGGCCTCAAGTCAAAGGGTCTGGATTCAAGTTCTAGCTCCACTTCCAACAAATCAGCTATGGAAACCTGGACAAGAAGCTTCCTTTCTATAGCACTCACTTTATTCATCTGTAAAATGGGGATAACATAATGATAATAACTAGTACTGACGAAGCACCTACTAGTGCCAAGCACCATGCCAAGAGCTTCACAAACATGCTTTCATTCCACCCTGAGAAGTAGGTGCTGTTATGGAATCCACCATACAGATGAGGACACAGCTAGTAAGTGTTTGAAGCTGGATCTGAATTCAAGTCCTCCCACCCCTCAGGTGGTTATGAGGACCCTACACAAAAATGGGTTTGTGCTGAAATGAAAAGGGTAGGGCTGAATGCCGAGGGGTGGGACAAAGAGAGGCAGAGCAACTGAGTCAGCACTCCATGGGAGGTGTCAGGCAGCATCGCTGTCCTGGGGTGGAGGAGCTGGGAGAAGCCTGAGAACAAGACCCTAGAGCACTGGGGTGTCAAGCCTGTGACCTAGAACACTGATGTGCTGGGCTAGCCAAGACCTAGAATTCTGGGTTGTGCCAGCACTAGGAGGGCCCCCAGAACCCGGAACACTGGGGTGCCAGAGCTGTGACCTAGAACATTGGGGTGCTGGGCTGGCCAGGGCCCAAAACACTGGGCTGTGCCAGCGCTAAGACGGCTCCCCAAACCTAGAACACTAGGTGTCGGAGCTGTGGCGTGTTGGCGCAAGGAGGGCCCTCAGAATCTGGAACACTGAGTTGTTAGAGCTGTGACCTAGAACACTGGGGTGTGCTGGTGCCAAGAGATCCCCCCGGAACCCAACACTGGACCGCTGGGGCTAGAATGAAGAACACTGAGCTGCGGGGGAAAAAATTTCAGCCCTGGGAGGGCCCCTAGAGCAACGGGGTCCTAGGGACGGTCCTAGAACCTAAAACACTGGGGGCGCACTGGCGCTGGGAGGGCCCCCAGGACCTAGAACACTGGGGGGTGGCTCTGAGAGGGCTCCTAGAATACTAGGATGTGCTGTGCGGGGGGGGGCGGCTCTAGAAACCAAGGCATGGAAGTGTCTGCAATGGGAGGGCCCCCAGACCTAGAACACAGGGTGACTGCCCTAGGAGGGCCCCAAAAGTCAGAACACGAGGCTGTACCAGCGTGGGGGCAGAACCCCCGGAAACAGGGCTCCAAGGGTAGGAGGCATCTAGGTCCAGCCCACCACAGTCACGCGCCGTGCCGGGTCACGTGGCCTGCACTCACTCCGTCACGTGGCGCCACGAGGGCGGGGCTCCAGCCCCCACAGCGTCCCACCCCTTTCCCTGCGGCGAGGCAATATCTGAGCTTGCTTGGCCCGGTCCCACCGCCCCGCCACGCCCCCTCTCTCCCGGGGCTCCCTCCCCACCCAGACCCCGGACCCGGCCCTCACTTACCGCCGGGGCGTCGGAGGGCGCGGGAGCAGAGGCCTCCCAGGACAAGGCGGTCGCTGACTTCCCCGTTCCAAATTGAGGCCGGCGTCCGGCCCCACCCCTGCGCCGACGGACGGTCCCCTCTGCCAATCGGAAGCGCCGCTCTCCCTTGCCCCGCCCCTTCCTCCCCCTCAGGCGCCAGGAGCCGTCCGGCCTGGGCCTGCCTCGTGGGGCGCAGGCGCAGTGCTGTCCCCGCCTGGATTCGCCTGAGGAGTCGAAGACTCGCGGCTCCCCGGCAGAGGCCCAGGCGGGGGGGGGAGGGGAGGCGCGGCGCAGGCGCAGTGGGAGCGCTGGCCGCGGGGGCCCCTCCCCTTCCCTTCCTCAGGAGCTATCTGCCCGGCCCCGCGGGGAGCCTGAGCCGCGGGGTCTTGTGGGCGTGAAGGCCAGGGCGCCTGCGCGGCCTTGGGGAAGGGCCGGGCGGCTCGGCCGCGCTGCCCAACGTCGACGCCGCGGCTCCTCGGCCCCTCCAGGTAGGAGGAGGGAGCGGGGAGGCCCCGAGGGGGGAAGCCCGGTGGGGTGGGGGGGACGGTGTACACGCACGTAGAGACGGGCAGGGCCGCCCCTGAGGGGTACGGCCCGGGCAGACGCGCGGAGGTGGGAGAGGACGGGGCCCTGCCGGCTCGGGGCGCCTCTTCCCGGGTCCAGCCGCCCGAGGCCGCAGGCTGGGGGGGCCGCCTGCTGTGTCCGAGGGCGGGTCCTCTGCGCCCTCCCCGTGAGGGAGGGGAGGAGCATGAGAAAGGCCAAGGCTCGGAGGGAGGCGGTGCGATGAAGAGCGTGGTGTTGGGCTCCGGCTTTTGCCACCCCTTTCGGGGGTTTTGACAGACGAGGAAACTGAGGCAGGCCAAGGAACGCTCACACGGGGCCCCGAGCCGACGGGACTGGACAACGTTGACGGCAGGTGGCCTGGGCTGAATCGGTCAGTTCCGTTCTCTTCCCCGCCCCCACCCTCCGAGACGCTCCCGGCGGCGGAGGGGCAAAGAGCCGCCCCGCGCAGTGGGCCTCTGAGGGAGCGAGGGGCGAGGCCGGCCCGCATGGGCGCTGGGCCCTCCGGCGGCCCGGCAGACTCGCTGGGCTCTGCGAGCTCTGTCCCCGTGTCTCTGCTGCCAGGACCGCCTTGGAGGGGGGGCACGGGGAAGAGAGCTGTAACCGACCGATTCAGAGGGACCCCGTGTGGGCCTTCCTTGGCGGACGTGCTGGAGACGTGGGCCGTTGCCTTCTCCAGCTCATTTGACAGATGAGGAAACTGAGGCGGGCGGGGTGAGGTGACTGGCCCGAGGTCACGCGCCCCTGGAAGGGTCTCTCTGCACTGTGGCGCCCCCTAGCAGCCTGTCGCCAAAGTTCCCCGGGTGGAAACAAGAGCAAAGGTGATAAAAGCTGTAGCTGGAGATTCCTGGGCTCGGACGCTGGGGGATGGGGGTCCAGTGCTGCTAGCGGCCTCCCCCCCCTTGTCTGAAAGGCCTCGGGGCAGGTGAAAGCGGGGAGCTTACTGATCAGAGTGGGAGGGCTCCCCTTGTTCCCGCCAGCGATGAGGAATCCGGATTTGATTTTGTCCGGAGACGTACGGGAAGAGGTGCGCTTAAGTGCGCTCGTCTGTTAGGATCGTTGTGTGAGGGAGCGCCTAAGACAGCGAGCATCTGCCGCTCTGAGCCTTTGGCAGCGGGTTAGCTGAAGAAACAAAGTAGAAAGGGGGCCTTCGAGAATAACAAGCAGGACTTGTGATTGGCTCCGGTACCATGTGGGGCATAGCTCCAGTCGGGATCGGATTAAAGGCTAGCCTCTGTGGAAGCGGACAGTGTTCTCCTGTTGTGGGGCTTAGCGAAAGCGGGAATGTGTTCTGTTTGGCAGTGAGGCGCGGTGTTGGGAACGTGTGATCTCAGAGCAGGCTGCCTCAGTTTAGCCGTTTGTAACATGGCTAAAAGTAATGCCTCACAATAATTTGAAAATTTATTGTATTTGAAGCATTAAGATGGTAAATTCTTTTTTTAATCTGGATTCTTGTGGGTTATAGGATAACGTTTTTTAAAGTGATGTTGTATGTCTGAAACTGTTTATTTAGAAACACAACCGGTAATGACAATTTTTTTTCTATGAGCTTGACCTACAGAAATTGCATTAAGAAGTCCTCTGTTTGTAATGCAGGATTTTAAGATCTGATAAGCCCTGAGGATAGAATAAGCTTTTTTAACAACAGTGGCTAATCAATCATGTTTAGCCTGGCATATTTTGAACTGACCTACCACTAGCAGTTGTGACTCCAAACCAGAAAAACTTTTCTCGTGTGTGTGTGTGCGCGTGTGTGCGTGCACACGCGTGCTTCACCTATTATACTGTGAGATTCATTTGTCTTGTGTCATTTCATTTGGCCTGTGTATTACTTTTTTGCTAAGTGGGTTTTTGATGAAAACCCAATGTGTTTTGTACTAATGCTTTTCCAGAGGCCATGTGTCATAGAATGAATGATTTTCTATGTAAGATAATTTGGAAATACATTTGTCTAAATTAATATTATCTGATTAGTATTTAAAGTTTTGCTTAAAATTCATGGTATTATGAATGTTGTTATGTGTTTCAAGATTTTCTTATATTTGTAAATTCTGTGGAACAGAAATGCTGTTAAGGAAGTGGTAATATATCAGTGGAGATTTAAAATTTTTTTGACTTGGGTGTTGGGAAATTATTAATCAAGGTATTAGACTACTGTTATAATATTAAAACATACGCAGTCGAGCATTTTCTTGCGAATTATGAAGTTGTGTCTAGAATCGTCTGTATGGTTGGATCTTTAACCAACTTTAACAGATCCCAGTCTAAGAGATTTTCTTTTGTTAATATGCAGTATCCATCTGTTAGTCTGCAAATTACTGCCAGCCTCTTCTGAGAGATTCTGTTTGAGTAACCCTACCCTGTCAGTCGTCTATGTGAATTTACAGATTACAATTGTTTTATTGATTGCTTTTAGACTAGGATGAGTTTAGAAAACAATGTTGAGTGATTTTTGGAAGGCCTGATACATTTTCATTTTGAGCTGATTTATTGCAGCAACATGAAAATAGTAAAAACTGTATCCAGCCCTAAGCTATGATTGTTGACACTTAATGTTTAAAGTCAGATCTACTGGACTGTAATTGATATTAGTCTGAGTTGGATTCCAGCAGCGAACATTTGAAATGCCATTGAACCGATGACCCCATGATGCCAGCGGCCCTTTGGGAGTGACATCTGGGAACTAAAGTCATCTAGGGGTCTTGGGAACCTCGAAAGAATTCAACCACCCAAGCCTTCTTTCAGTCCAAGTAGTTTATTGAAACACCAGTTGGTGTGGGCAAGATTCCTAGTGAGCCTGCACTGTGATGCCAATACAAGCTGGCTAGACTTTAAGAATCTGAGCAATTTAATGGGGGTAAGATGGACACTTTTATATAGAAAGACTTGTGGGAAGATCTGGGTGGGATTAAGGAGTGTCAAGTAAGCTAATTAAGTAATCAAGGTGGACTGGGGTGGGCCAGATTGAACACCAGGAATCAGGACTGTGTGGGAAAGTCTAAGGGCTTTTCCTTTTAGGGGGAGAAGAGTTTCTGCTTTGGGCTGAGGCTCCTGACTCTATTTCCCTGGTGTGATATTTCCTCTTGAACAGCAAGTTTTCCCATTGGGCTGAGCTTCTGAGCCTGCTGTGGCATTCTCTCCATACAGTCAGCTGCCTCTATGACTCTTGCCTGGAACTGACCCCAAGCTAGGGGAGTACTTTTTCCCATACGATATCTGTGTCTCTCTTTTTCCATTTATGGCAAGTTTCTGTGATTGTGGCAGGTGGTCAGTAGAACATATGAATACAATATTAAATCATCATCTCATAGACTAGATGCAAGTATGTAAGATTTAATTTATTCAGCCTGAAGTTACAGCCCTTTCCTTATTCTAAACAGCTAAGGAGATGAGTACTTGGGCTTGTCCTCTGCCAGAAGAATGAAAACCCCAGAGACAGTTTCTGGGTGATTAATAATCAATTTATTAATTAGGCTAGTCAACAATCAATAAGTTGATGGTCAGTGGTTTCCTTTGGCAACCAGAGACCCCAAGGGAGACCCTAAAACTCCTTTAAAACCCTTCTGAAAGGGACCTCCCCTGGCAAATGAAACTCAGACCTGATGGGTGGACATTTAGTGAGGAGGTAGGTTAAAGGTCTTCAGCTCCTCTTGCTGAGAATATGGCTTACTCTTACTACTACCAGCCTCGAGGTATCTGGGCAGAGGAAGCATGTCCATCAAGATGTTTCTGGCTGGTTTTCTCCTTCATGAGTTGGGTCACCCTAAACTCTGATGGAGGGGATCAGGGAGGCAAAGGCTTGCCTAGACTGGATTCTGTTTATAGTTTAAACAGAAATGAGATCTCCCAGTAGGGTGGGGTCCCCCCCAAAACTGAGGAGCATGTGCCTTGAGGGCTAGGAGCAGTCTCATCAGTCAGCCATGCCCTTCAGAGACTGAGGACCTTAACAAGTGTTGGGCCTTTAAGGGAAAAAGGTGGATCACAAATTAGTAATTAGTTACTAATATAATAGTGTAATATTGATTATATTGTCACTGTATCAACTTAACATGTTTTACTGCAGACAACTCATTTATACAATTTGGAATTATTTACTTAATGTATTTGCACACCCTATGCCGGGTCTTTTTTTTTTTTTTTAACAATTGGACCTCATAGGTAAATTCGTTTTTGTGGCCCTTCAGCTTAGGCCTGGAAGTCACCCACTTGCAAAGGGTGTTGTTACCTATGTGCTCATAAATCCTACCAGCTTCTCATCCTCCTGAGGTGGGGAACAGCTAGCCAGAGTGAATAAGTAGAGTAAATAACTGGACTGAATATTTCTTGAGAAGACAACAAGGTCAGATGCTTATATGTGTCAGATATAGATGATTCTAATGAAACACGAAGGTCTTGAGCATCTTTTCATAAGAAGGTTGAAAATTGGGTTCATTTATGTTTGCGATTGCATTGTTCCTTCTCTGCACAAATCAAGCAGTTTAGGAGAGCTAGTTAGGTCCTGATTTGTCAGTTATTATTTGAATTTCCTAAATATATCAATATAATAATTTGCTAACTTACATCATAGGGCAATTATGGGTAATAAAACTGAAGGTTTTTCCCTTTGTGGTGCTCAAAGAATGAAATAAATGAATGCCAGTTTAAAGAAGTTAAATGACAGTGGAGTTAATGGTAATTTAAAAAGCACGCTTAACCTTGGCTTACATGTCCCTGTGGTAATCAAATCTTTAACTAGAAGGGCTTACTTTACAAGGGAGATCCTCATAGATTCATGTAATTTCTCCTTTCAACCTGATGTTGTCAGGGTCTAAATCAAATGCCTCATTTAGATAAAGAAAAGGGCAGCAAAGGGTATGGGAAACCGCACATTCTCTGATTTGGGGGTTCCTAATTTGATATTCTCCATTTAACTATTGTTAATAGGATAAGAGCCATAAGGTTGAGCTTGGAGTCACCACGTGAAATGGTGATCTGCTTAGCAAAATGAAAGTGACCCTGTTAAATTATATGGAGATCTGTTTCACCAGAGATTTAACAGAAGCCTCCAGGCATCTCTACCGTGTCCTGGCCAGGAGAAGCAGATCTGCTAGGAGAAGCTGCTCTGAGGATAGGCCCATGCCAGCTTGCCTTTGAGGAGATGTTCTCAGACACCACCCAGATAGTTTGAGCCCTGAGGATGAGAGGGACTGATTAAAAGGCAGTGGGAATGAGTTACTAAGAGACAGACTGAGCACTGCCTGCCTGCTTCCTCATTTTCCCATGTGTTTGGTACACTTCTTACCTAAGGGACGCCCCCAGGGCTTCCTGTTAGTGTGCCAGTCATCTTTCTCCCCCTTCCCCTGGAGAGTTGGTCCTGAGAGGGCCCTGAGCTGGATGCCATTTTACAATTGGCACATCAGCTAGAGATTGATTGTGTGTCTCGGTGAATCAGAGGGGGAATGAGGAAAATTAACATTGTGCTATATTATTTAATAACCAATAACCAGTATTGCTCTGTAATCCATCTTTTTCCTCATTCTGAAGGCCAGGCAGTTTCTGAAAGGCATGATTGGGTAATGTCGTCACTCTGAGCCCCAAGGCATCTGCTCCATAACCACCTTGGGCTTGGATCTTTCCAAGTGGGACCCCCTCTTCTGTATCCCCCATAGATAGAGAATCAGTTTGAGCTAGGCCATCCCCAGGGGACCAGTCTCTCGTCCTTGCTTTCTTATCGAGGTCAAGGGTGACTTAGTACCTAGTGGCGTAGCCAAAACTGGGATAATCTGACTAAGATGCTTTTGTTTTTCTAGCCAGGATTGCTAGAGGCAGCTGGGTCTCAGGAAGCACCTAGCGTTCCTTAAATGTCAGGGTGTCTGAAGGCCACCCCACCTACTAGTCAGGGTTGGCCTTGTTTGCCAGGGGAGGTCCAAATGCTACGCTCTCAGGCCAATCAGAAGGAAGCAACACCTGGATTTAGAAGTCCCTCTGGGCCCTCATACCAGGTCTGGTGTGATGGGGAGAGACTAATAACCTCAGTTCATTGGTTGCTGATGGTGTAACTAATAAATTGATTGATGGTACTCAGAGCTGTGTCTTTCAGAATTTTGTTCATGACATTTCCCTGTGTAGCTCAGGTATTGGGGCTGGGCTGATGCTTTTTGTAGCCAGAGTTTAATTTCTACAAAATGACAGTAGTTGCAGAAATTGTTTGGTGCACTTGTTTGTTTCAGGTTAGGGCCTCAACATTCATGTCTTATAAACCAATGGGCAGTAGGGATTTTGCTGTTTCCTGGCCCTGTGTCTCTCCCCTTCTTGATCCCAGCCCCGCTGTTGCCAGCTGCCGGTGCCTTCCCTCTTGAGATTCCCTTTTGTGGACACTGCATTGTAACACTGAGCACAGTGCCTGGCACACAGACTCACTTAATACACTCTCGTTCCTCCCAGAACTATTTCTGTTTTTAAAAAACATACTGGGAAATAACAGCGCCCTAACCGGAGTCTGTGTCCGAGGGTGCCATTTCATGCCCTTGTCTGAGCGATAGAGTGGAGGAGGAGATGAGAGAACCAGGCAGAAGGGGACCTGGGAATCTTTGCGGCGCTACGGCACCTGCAAGCCCTCCATCAGCCCCTTCTCCATCTCGTCAGTCATTTAGTGGCAGAGGGCAGTGGGGTCAACTCAATGCACAGAAAGCTACATAAGGATCCCTGGGGAGGGAGAGCTCATCATATTGGCCTAGGAAACCACCCATTAACATTGTATTGTGTCGAACGTTTGTGTATTTTGTTAAGCATTTCCCAGTTGTATTTTAATAGTATTTAATTTTTTCCAATTCCCTGTAAAGACAATTTTTTCATCAGACTTTGAGTTCCAAATTTTTCTCCCTCCTTCCTTCCCCTCCCTCCTTCCTAATTTGATATAGGTTCTGTATATGTAGTCATGTAAAACATACTTCCATGTTAATCATGTTGTGAAAGAAGAAACAGAAAAAAACAAACAAACACAAAGACAGTGAAAATTGTGTGCTTGGATCTGCATTCAGACTCCATCGGTTCTTTGTCTGGGGTGCACAGCGTTGTCTGTCATGAATCCTTTGATGTTATCCTGGATCATTGTGTTGCCAAGAAGAGCTAAGTTCTTTACTGTTGATCATTTCACAGTGCTGCTGTTACTGTGTCCCAGTTAGGTTTTAATGTGGTTCGGGTTTGACCCTTCTTGTATAGAGCATGCAGTGGGTCACTCAGGGAATGTCGCTTGAGTCCCACTCCGTGCCAGGCCCCTGGCTCATCCCAGTCCCCTTCCCCTGGAGGGACTGCAGGTTTCCAGCACTTAATAGAACCCAAGCCATGGAACAGCCACAGCCATGGGAAGCACACTTTCTTAAAATTGTACTTTCTTGAAGTGTATGTTTGTTTCAAAAGTCCTTCATTTTTAATAAGTTGATTATCTCCTGCATCTCCTAGGTCTAGACCTGTTCAACTGAGCTGGAATAAGAAGAAGAGCCCTGTGTGAGCTGGGAGCTGCCCTGGGGAAGAGGACTGGCAAGGGATTGGAAGCTTTGCCTGATTCAGGATTACCTTATAACTGGTAAAAAAAAAAACAAAAACACAAATCCCCATTCATCACTGGCCAAGGGGCTCAGAGGTACTCTTCTCCTTCATTTGACCAGCCTTTGGTCCCTGGCCAGGAGGACACAAGCCTTCAAGATACTGACATTCCCTTGGGGAAGCTAAGGTAGCTTGATGTTTCCACCCCACCCAGGGGCGTCTCCTGGGGGGAGGGCAGGAGTGTCGTTGGCAGGAGGGGTGCCCTGCTAGGAGAGCCACCCGCAAGGTGCTGGACAGGGCTAGGGTTTGGGGAGCATTGCTGTGTAGGGGACCGGCCAAGGCTGACTCTGTCCCTGGTGTGAAGGGCTTCAACAAAGGGCCCATGGAGGAAGTCATCATCGCTTTGGGGCAGGGGGGTGGTGCCATGGTGAGGTCTGGGCTTTAGGAGTTTCTCTGGCAGCTGTGGAGGGAGAGAGGCAGACGTGCAAGCTATTAGAAGCAAAGGTAGAAAGTGAGAGTGCTGGTCCAGGGCTGAAGTGGTGATGTTCTGAAGGGGAAAGGATGCTGTGTTGCCAAGGAAACTGGAAATAGAACTGGCTTGTTGCTAGGAAACAGCGAAGAGCTGCTGAGCCCAGAGGAATCCTAGGGGGGCCCTTCCAGCATCCTGGGGCACTGTTGTGGGAAGGAGGGCTTCGTAGTGTTGGGCCACCACCTGAGGGCAAAGCTCAAACACAGGTGGGGGGAAGTGGGGTTACCTAGAGGGGTCTGCGTTGGCCCTGGTCAGAGGGGCTGGCGGGGCCTGCACCTACCACACTCCAAGGCCACAATCCAAGGCAGAAGAGGGGGAAGGGATGCCTTGAAGTGGGAGCACCTGGCTTATGCTGAATGCCCAGGTGTTCTTGTGGGTTCTCATCTCCTCTAGGATTCTCAGTGTTTTAGACCCAATGGCTAAAAGGAAAGAAGAACATTTTCTTCCTACTGGGACCCAGAAGAAACAGAGGCATGAACAGGAGAGAGGATCTGCAGAGGACAGTGAGGAGGAGGAGGAGGAGGAGGAGGAGAGTTCCCTGTCTTTGTCCTCTGGGAGTTCGGCTGCTCAAACAGTAAGATGCTGTGCTGGGGCATGGGCTTGCTGGGAGCGGCAGAAGCCAAGAAGGCGGCCCTTCCTGGGGAGGGGAGGTCCTTGTCCTCCGATTTACGGGAGAAGAGGAGAGGTTTCTCTGTTCCCCTAAGGCCCCTGAAAGTGCTGTCAAGTGGGTGCCACATTTTAAGGGACCCCCAACAGCTGAAGTGTGCAGGCCAACGCCAGGCCCCGGGGGCCCCCGGAGGGAGAGAGACCTGATGGGGCCCAGCGAATTGCCTTGAGGTAGATGGCTGTTTGTAGCACAGGCAAAATCCCAGGATCATAGATTCTGGCAGCTGAGGGCTGCCGTGGGCAGAGCCCCAGTCTGGAGGCAGCAAGGCCTGAGCTCAGATTCGCCTCTGCCTCAGCTGTGAAATAGGCATCCTCCCAGGGTGAGACAGGTGATAGTTGTGAGCTGTAGGGCACTGGGTCAGTGTAGGCTTCGTTACTGAGAGCTGAAAGAGATTCCATGTGCTTGCTGCTTCGGATAACCAGGCCTGGGGCTGGTGTAGACACAGGTTCAGCTCCAGGGCAGACCTTGACTGGAGGTGCCTCCCCAGCAGCGAGGATCCATCCTCTCAAGGCTGGAGAGAATGGGCTTCTTTGGCTGGCTGGCTGGCTGGTCTGGGAATCTTGAGAATCTTTGAGAAGTACTGGGCTGGGAGGAAGGGCAGAAGGGCATGGTGGACCCAGGAAGGCAGCACTCCTAATGGGCCTCACTTCACATCCCCGAGGCTCGGTCTTCCCACCTCTAAAGTGGGGTGGTGGTTCTTGTCCTGTCTTCCTCACTGGGCTGAGAGCTCTGAATGTGAGTTATTGTTGGGATCTGAACCAGCCCCCCACTTTTACAACTGAGGAACATGGGGCCAGTTTGAATTACTAATAGGGAAATTCTGTGGCCCGCTCTGCCTGAGATGAACCGCTCTTGGAGTCACAAAGAGGGAGGAGGGACCTTGGAGGGCCAGTGACTGCAGTCATTAATGGCCATGGGGATTGTCAGGGGCTGCAGGTTGGCTTCGCTGCTGTTCATCTTTGGTCTGTAGCAAAAAGGTCAAGAGCAGCCTGTCTGGCCATTGCTATCTGAATGGGGTGGGGTACTTAGAGAAATTAAGCACAATCAGCTAAAACCAAGGACCCTTTGGTCCCCGGGTCCCAGAAGGATTGGCCATCCTTTTCCTTTGCTGTGTGTCGTGAGTTACTGTGATCAGGGATGCTCATTCTGGGGAGGGCCGAGTCTCCTAGAAATCGGCTGGCTCTTGGTCTCTTACTGACGTGTGAGTGAGGGTCCTCGAGGCTGGGCTGGGGTCTCCGCCAGCTGTCGGGGCGGCGTGCCACATGGCCACACCCATTCTGACGCCCTCGTTTTCTTTAACAGACATCAGCCGAAGTCGGGATCATTGAGAGCATACAGCTGAAGAATTTCATGTGCCATGCAATGCTCGGGCCTTTTAAGTTCGGATCCAATGTCAACTTTGTGGTGGGAAACAACGGAAGTGAGTCGGTGTTGGTTAGAGATCTAGAGATCCGCCATTCATGGTGGAAAAACTCTGCTCTCGAGGCTAGCCTTGTTGGAGATGGCCCTGTGGCCCTGCCCATTGTGGGTGTGAATGTGCGTGTGACACAGAGGGGGAGAGAGAGAGAGAGAGAGAGAGAGAGACGCACGCCCCCACCCCCTGGGGCCTGTGTGCCAGGGCCGTCAGCGCATTCACCTGGGCCCCAAGGCCTGACAACAGGTGACAGCTGTGCCCGGACAGGGTGACCAGGCCAGCTCCTCACTTTGTTATTGCACCATGGGCTTCTGAAACGTGCAGATTCTGCTCACAGATGAAGCGTGGTCATTGCCTCCATCGAGTATCTCTGCAGTTCTCTATCCCAGGCACGTCCTGCCTCCGGATCAAGAGCGGCACACTGCTTTTGGTAAACTCCACAAGCCCCGTCAGTCACCAGGAGGAGCCCTTCACCACCTGCCCCCTCCTCCCTGTCCAGGCTCCATATACCTCCCTCCCCAGCACAGGGACCCCCGGCCTCCTGGCTGTTCCAGCATTTTCTGTGGCCATCCCCAGGCTTGGAACACTGTCCCTCCTGTCTCTGCCCCTTCTCCCGGAAGACTTCCCCAGCCCCTCCTAATTCTGTGCCTACCTTCTCTTAATTCTCCCCAACCTGTCCTGTCTCCCTCATTAGATTATAAGCTCCTTGAAGGCAGGGGCTGTCTCCTGCCTTTCTTTTCACCCTTAGTGCTTAGCACAGTGCCTGGCACATAGTAGGTGCTTAAAAAGTGCTTACTGACCAATGGACACAGCGCCCCCCAGGGCGGAGATCACAAGCCAGTTGTGAGCACGATGTCTGTGAGTCTTTAGAGCAAGGACAACATCATTGCAGCATGTTACCGGCAGTGATGATCATTGTGACCCCAAGCTTACGTCGTCCTTGCTCTTTTATTGAGTGACATGGTTATATTTTGATGTTACCGGTAGTCTCATCAGTCCATAGAATGCATGTAGTGCTTACAGGGTAGCATTCTCACACTATTGCACTCTGTGTAGATAGGAGTGAGTGTGTGTGTGTATGTATCTCTTAGGGTGGGAAAAGTTTCCGTAACCCTCGATTAATACTTAAAACAGCTAAATGTGTAAAACATGTTGAGGTCTCTAGCCCTTGCTGTATTCTGAATCATCTGTGCAGTTGCTGTTTGTGGTCATGGCCTGAGGAGGGAAAGCTGTTCTGCACCGTGCCCCTGGCCTCCGACAGCCAGTGTATCTCTAGGGAGAAGAGCCCCGGCCTAGGAGTCCGGGGGCCACAAGGGCAGGCCCCGCTTCCTCCAGCTTTCCTCGTGACTCCTCACTCCTGGGCCTTGGGTCATTTTGTGATTTAAGAAGAGAAATGGTTTGTTGTGGCTTTTCTGGAACTCAGTGATGCTCTGTTTTCTGTAAGCTGATGACGAAAAGCTGTGCTGAATGTTGAATAGGCGT